CGCAAAAAAAAAAAAAAAAAAAAAAAAAAAAAAATAGGGCACGACTAGATTTTTTGGGACCGGCTGGGCCTCATTGTGGGGTGGCCGGGCTCCAAAGTTTGGTAAACAGAGCAGTTTCCCAGAAGATAGATAGAGCAATTTCTGAGGGCTGTCTTCGTCGACACGTGTGGGATCCTTGTTCATTCTTTACATATCATTGTTGTAATATTATTTTTGTAATAAATTAAATAGTATTCATTTGGATTTGCAATAAGTAGTTAATTTGGACTTGGACATTCGGACCCTCTTGCATAAGGGCTAAATTGTAATATTGTGTATGTCTTCCAACACCAATTCTTTCTCCGTTTTATTTACACGCTTACGATGGTTATATATAGCATCATATTTTGGTTTCATACTATTGCCATGAATTGTATCCATTTTTTGCATGCATTGGGTTCGGGTCATCAATCAAAACTTCTTGGTATTTCCTACTTACTTGAATATGTGCGCTATCGCATGCTTTAAGTTGAGCCATGTGCCATGTTAATAAACCGAATAGGGATGGCAATGGGATTAATGAGGTGGATATTAATTCTCCATCCCCATTCCCCTATAGGATTTGGATCCCGGATCACATATTTTCAATGAAGAGTGTTGCTTTGATGAGGCTACCTCATGTGCACCTGCATTCCGTGCTCTCAAACAATTGATCCAAAGATGCCTTGCAGATGCAGTTACATCTGGAAATGTATTTGCTGATGCAATATTGCAGCATTTATATCGATGGCTTTGCAGGTTGTAGGGTGTTTACTTGTCAAATATGCATCTTATTGGAGACTTATTTAATTATACCCTTCCGTCTTTATGTTGCAGCCCAAAGTCAAAACTGCATGACCCAGCTCTTCACCGTATGCTTCATAAGGTAAACGCTTATTCAAATACAAACTCAAAGGTTGCTTTGTGTGCGAGAAACCAGAAGCATTTCTTTTTTTCTTTTTCTTTTTGTATCTCTTATAAATGTTTATTTAACTGGACCTTTTTTTGTTTTTGTTTCTGTTTCTGTTTTTGTTTTGTTCTATACTTTTTATTTTCAATGACGCAATTATTTGTAATGTGTGCAATTACCTAAAACAGATACACCAATATGAGATATGATAATAATTAGATGGTCTTTCTATGATTACTAAGGTGGTGATTGGTTTACTTTTCAAAACCCAGCTCTGTTTTTAAATCATGATTTGGATGAAACATGTTAACCAAACACATTTTTAAAATACAATTCAAAATTACTTTCAAAACTCTTTTCTTCTCTTATGTATTTATTTATTATTATTAATCAATTAATCATTTTTTCTCTCTTATCTCTCCTCTCTCCTCTCACATTCTATGCATCAATCAATAAAAAATATATAAAAAAAAATTGCAAATACTATTTTCAAAATTCATAACCAAACAATTTTTCTCTTTTCAAATCATGATTCAAAAACTTAAAACTCAAAATATAACTCCACACTCAAATCATAATTCTAAAACTAAGCCAAACGGAAATCTTTTTAGGAAGTACCCAAATTTGATTGAAATATGAAACAGTTTTACATTTTCAGTAAAAAAAATTTATAATCAAGTTGTATTCGTTGTTATCTACTCTGACAGGTCATGCAAAAAGTGTTTGCACTATTGTTGGCGGAGTTTCGTAAGTTGGGTGCCACAATCATATTTGCCAACTTTTCAAAAGTAATTATAGATACAGGAAAGTCAGATTTATATGCAGCCAAAGCTTACTGTGATAGTTTACTCAAAACTCTGCAAACTAGGTTGGTCTTTATTTCCAGATTCCAAAGAGTTGTTATCAATAGGTTTCATCTTTTGTCCTGTCCTTTGTAATCCTTGTTTTATGGTTATAGAGATCTACTTGAGTGGATTGAGCTTGAACAACTGCAGTTCTGGCATTCATTGCTTTTTATGGATCAGGTTAGCACATTGTGGTTTCTCCTCTATTATCTACTTTGTTTATTTGTACTTTTTCTACTTCATTTATTATGTATCTATGTTAGTCAAAATTTCTCTTTCCAATTTGAATTTAACCTCAAGATAATGGAATTAATTTTAATGTGCGAGTAGTGAGCACCATGACAAGTATATCAAACTTCCGGTTGCCCTTGTACTACCATCCAGATCTCTGTTAAGAGAAATTCTGAAGTCTATTTGATGACTCAGAATAAGTGAAGGCTGGAGAAATTTGAACTCAAAGGCTAGAAAAATTCTAATCCTTAGGCAGTTTTGAGGTTTAAAATTGGTTTATCAAACTATATGTTTAAACTACATTTGTTAGGCATTCTAATAACTCAACCATAGACTCTTAGTTTTTTGAAAAAAGATTCAAATTTTGTCAGATATTATACAAAGAATATATAGTGCATTAAAGCCATGGAGTGTATCAATTGGTTCCAGATTACGGTGCAGTAATAAAATACATTCCGTTTTGATTCCATGTTCTAATAAATTTTTGTTCTAATTTTTCTACAATAGTACAATTATGGTGGAATCCTAGCTAGAATCAATAGTGAAACATTAGAAGGTATTTCTGAACCAGAAAATGGAATTATGCATGATGAATCTCAAGTGGATATTGTTTCAAGCTGGAATATTCTTGAAAACTTACCCAAGGCAACTCCGGTAGTCACCCAACTATTGTTTTTCTATGTTACTAGTACTTTTAAGATATAAGTGATATTGAAACAATACTTTATGCAATTTAATATGACATAGTTAAATTGAATCATTTAGTTACAAGCTTCATCAGCTACCATGTATTATTTTATATGATCTTCTTTCTTCATATTCTGACTGATATCACTATCTTTTGGTCTGTTATACAGGATCACTTCATTTTGATTGTCTCTCATTTACATAAATACCTAACCCTATTGGGTTATCATATATATAGAAAATAAGAATTCATTTTTTGTTGTGTCTAATTATATTTGGTTGACTTTATAAATCAAACTTTTATCTGCACACTTAATTAACTTCGTTAATACAGGTGGGTTAACAACTTTGGTTGACATGCCTCTTAACAGTTTTTCATCTATAGTTTCTAAAGAAACTTTTGAACTCAAGGTACGGATGGTTGAACTCAACTTTCGTTGACATGCCTCTTAGCTTTCTTAACAAAGGGTCTAAAGTGAATATTTCATACAGTGTCAAATCCTCGAGTTCTGCCTCTTTGTCCCTTGTAATAGCCCAAGGTAAATTTAAACTTTTCAATCATGAAATTATGGCAAGACAAATAGTACTTTTTTAGGGATGCAATTGTACATGTTACTTTTCAAGTCTATAAACTCTTTTTTGATAATGTCAGGGATTAAAAGAAATGTAGTTTCTGGAGACCCTTTTTGATTTTGTTTCGAAATGGTTTACTAACACTTAGGTCCCTCAAGGAGCATATTGGAATCATCCTAATCAGCATGTGGATGTTATCTGATACATATTGATTTGTTATGGTCTAATGAGTCGTGTTTAATCGTATCAGAGAGTGACATCAATGAGTATGAGGGAGTTAATCTTTGTTATTCATATGTGAGCATATATTTAGGTTTCCAGAAAGTTTGAGTTTTATATATAGGAATATTTAAAAACTAATCCAACTGCTTCAAAATCTTGTTTCTTCTCCCGCTAGGAATTCTAAACCTGTTACTTATCTCATGTCCACTGCTACGCACTGTCTTCTAGCTTTACCAGCTTTAATATAGCAAATATTCCAAAATAATTTGTCAATTACAAGAACTATGAACCCTCTTAGGTTATAAGTTTATCGATATACACATGTAAACATTTTAAGCCTCAACACATGCAAAAATGTTTTTAGTTTCTTCACATTTACTTATGACAGTTCTACATGTAGAGAAAGCCTTGTTGAGTGGATAGAGGACCCATCGTATCCTAATACAACTTTGTCTTGGAACATTATTCATGGTAATAAGGGGGTAAAGTTACTGTTATATATTGTATGATTAAAAAAGTTTGTGGTGGATTAGGTTATTATTCTTTATGTCTTTTCCTTGACAGAAAATAGTATCATCCAACAGGAAATTTTGTGGTCAAAATTGTATTATATTGCTGTGGGAAATTTGAACTCTGAGGAGATGGAGGTAATTGTGGAAGTATTTAAAGTCCTCTGTGTTTAGTAGGGAAAAATAAATAAATAAATAAATAAGTGATTTTCTAAGCTTGTGAAATTGTTTCAAATGATAACAAAATTATGGAGTCCTAAGGATGGATGCTTGTAGTATTTGTTGCTCAAAATTTAGCAGGATAGTATCTTCATAGAATTGATTGAGATTACATCGAATGAATTTCCTATTTGTAGTCCACAATCTATGCACCTTTAGAATTAAGATGGCCATTGAGAATTTTATTCTCTATGGTCTTTAGTGCTTCTAACAGAATCGTTTGTGTCAAAATAGGTGAAACATTGGTAAGAATCCTTTTCATTTGCAAAACTTTGATTGCTTTCATTCATCTCCAAGGATTTAGTTACATAAATCATCTATATTCAATATTTGGTTTTGAGCTTTCAAAATTAGTTTTTGAGTTTTTATTTTTATTTTATTTAATATTTTCATAAAATATCTTACATTTTAGATGATTTATAACTGCAAAAAACAGTAGTATTACAAGCTTTTGTGCAAGAGAATTATTAAGAGATAAATTCCCATTATTTGTTGTTCCATGCAGTCATAGAGTGATATAAACCATGTTCTTTAACATATATTTTTACCGTTAAAAATATAGTCAAATTATTATCAATGGGAGCAATAATATACGTAGTATAAACATGCTGGTGTCTTCACTTTGACTTATTTTGCTTAATTCTGCATTGACTAGGTTCAACTGAACTTCACAATAAAGGGTTTTCTCTATAATACAACCCAGGCATATTACAAGTGCTCTCTGTTAAAATTTACTATCACCTACTTCACCTACTCCACTAAACCTAACCCACTACACCACTATAGTGGGTTAGGTTTAGTGGAGTGGGTGAAGTAGGTGATAGTAAATTTTAACAGCCCCCGCAAACTCAAGGGGGATAGGAACTAACCAACTTGAGTTTGGAGAGAGTAACAAAACAAGAAAATACATAAAAATAAAAGAGGATAGGTGACACTGTATGGTCGTGTCAGACCATTGGTGAAGACACTGGATGGTGGTGTCATAACGGTGTAGAGGACACTGGATGGCGGTGTCAGACCGATGTAGAAGACAGTTTATGGGGTCATGTCGGACCGTTGTAGCAGACAATGTTCGGGGTCATGTCGGACCGTTGTAAAAGACAATGTTGTGACAGTTTACGGAGTCTTGCTGGACCCTTGTAGAAACTAACCGGAATCAATGTCGGGACAGGCCTTGAATAAAGTAGGCCCAAGAGAACATATTTGGGCTAAGCCCACATTAATTAACACGATGAATAAAATTAAATAAAATGACAAGTCATTAAATTATAATGATTATTTTATTCATAGAGCTTCTAAAGAAGCTAGAGTACAGTGTGAACAGAGCAATCCAGTTGCGTACATTGAACTTAGACATATAGAGAGAATATCATTAATATGCTGACGCATATTATGATGTAAGCATTACATAAAGAGCATTAACATGTCGAACATGTAACATACATATCAGCTCTTAACAGAGACACTTTCTTGATGCTCTTCATAACAATAAACAATCGTCCACGATTGTTTAATCGACCTTTCTTTACATATTTACTAATCTTCCGAGGGTCTGTCCCCTGTTACAAAATATAGACCCTTGGATCACCCCTCCACGTGTTGATGATCCAAGGATAGATGAAATGACACTCCACCTTAATATCTATATAAGGAGACTCAGAAAGTGTGCGTTATCATGCTCTGAAAACTTATTCAAATCTTTCAAGGAAGAAACTAAGGGGTTGTTTGGGGTGTCCTAAATAAGTGTACTTTTTGTCTTTTTGGACTAAAAAATTGAGGAAAAAAATATGGATGTCTGGGTTAACTTTTTGACTTTTTATGGAAAAATGTGTATTAAAAAATTGTATAAATTAGTGTGTAGAAAAAGATTAGGATTGAGAGTTGTGCAGCCGTACTTTCTGGGCAGTTCAATTGAGGCTAAGAAATGATTGGCTACTTTTTGGGCATTGCATTGGACGGTTTTGTTCGGACCGTAGGGGCCATCACAGGTCCTATTTTGATAATCTGAACCGTTCAATGTGTAGAACTCGTCGAGTACTATATGCCTATACAAAATCAGGTTGATCGGATATCGATAACTATCTGATCAGATTTGTTTTTTTTAATCGTTAATTATAATACCATTCTTTTTTTTATACAAAACTGATTTGATCATGTAGTTATAGATATCCGATCAATGTGATTTTTTACAGACATATAGTACTCGACGAGTTCTACACATTGAACGGTTCAGATTATCAAAACGGGACCCTTGATGGGCCCCCACGGACTGAACAACAGTTTGTGAAAATTGTACCCAAATTGTGCACTTGTTGTTAACAAACGCTGCACAGCGCCAGTTTTGTCATGATTGCTGAGTTGTATAGATGTGTGGAAAATTAAATTTTTAATATTTTTTTTTTGGGTGAATAATGATAACTTTTTAACTTTTTAAATAACTTTTTGACTTTTTAATTTTTTGAAGAGATGCCAAACTTGACCTTAATAGGTCAATAGTGACCCTTTCTTCTACACTATATGATATTGTGCCAATCGTAATATGATATGATATGTCATTTCTTTTAGTTATTATTTATCCCGATATAATGGTAGATGAAGGTTTGTAGTTGGGATATAATGGTGGATTAAAGGTTTACCAAGGGAGATCTCGACAAGAAAAAATTGAGTGAAACGGTTGACAAACTAATTAAAAATTTCCCAAAAAAAAAAAAAAAAAAAAATCATGGAGCTAAACCAACTAGAGGCACGGAAGCACAACTACTGAACAGCAGGCAGATAATTAAAATTTCAAATTGATGTGTATAATAACTCCCCATAATAATTTAAATGAAAGAGAAATGAAGAATGTATATGTGGTAATCTACCCTCTTGCAGAACCCAAAAAAAATTATGAAAAAAAAGAACATGCATAAAGATGTTGATCCTTCAATTATCACTTCAGCTGATTTGTACGACCCACAACCTTTGTTTACTGAACTTTTGAACCTCGTCGACCCTCTTTGATATGCTTTATCTGTTTGGGAAGTTTATGGATTGGGTTTTTTATTTTTATTTTTTACCCTAAAAGACAAACTTTTTTTAAAACCAAAAAAAAAAAAAAAAACAAATCCAAAGAAAATATCACATCCAACCCTATAATCATTTCACTTTTTCACTCACAAACATCACATCCAACCATAAAAAAACCCAACTATTTTCCCAAACACCAAAAAAAAATTATCCAATAATATCCTACAACTAAAAAAACCTACATAAAGACCCACTTCCCAAACACCCACTACATGAGTTTATGTATCTTTCCCTCTTCATCTATTATTATTATTTTTTTATTTTTTTTATTTATTTTTTTTATAAAATAAGTAAAAAACTTGATTGTCATGACACACCCATCCAATGATCTCTAATATATAAAGGAAGAATATCAGTTGGTGTTATCTTATTTTGACATTGTGTTGATTTTAGTTTATTCCAAAAATATCAGATTAGGTATATTTATTATTAAAAAAAAATTATGTATGTTAAGTTGCTACTGAGTACTCAGGTAGAATTACATCACATTGTCCCAAAAAGTGCCTAAAGTTACTAAAATTTACCTAAATTTCTTCTATAATGGATTGAAAGTTTTTTTTTTTTTAACTTGTAAATAATATAGACTCTAATTTGACTTGGACTCTTTATTTTGGAACTTACAATGGTAATGGATGAAACCTATATAAACCTAAACCTCACACATAGAGATCCTTTAACATAATTATCCAAGTCCCAAGTAGGTGCTGCATTGAAGTAGATTAATTCCACCTCTTCCTCTTTTTAAATTTGATTTTTTTCTTGAACTTCTTATGGCCTGAATTTGGTAGCAAACTATTGAGATCTTGAATTTTTGCTAATTTGTCAATATTACATTGCTTTTATGGGACCATTGAATTATCTTATTAATTTTGAAAATGTTTTGTTGATGTTTTACAATTTCTTGATAATTTCTTAATACCTTAAGAAATATTTTTGTTCCTGAGTCGTCAGTTTTTGTACTTATGTGAAGTTTCCTTTGTCATGCAGACAAGAAATGCAACAGGGTTAGTTGCTCTAGTTATTGCCGCGATTTTAGGTGCCTTAACACATACATTGGGTACCCTCATCCCTGTGATAAGAGTAAGTGGATTTGCTACAGCTGCAGCTGCAACTGTAGCTGCAGCTGCAACTACTATAGGAACTGTTGTCAATAGTTTTAGATAATCTCTTAATAGTTGTTGATATGTTTAAAAAGTTAGATATGCATAGTTTTGGATAGTTTAAACTTTTTGTACAGTTTAGAACTTAAAGATATAGTTTTCGAATGTTTGGAATGTATAAACAATTGTTGAATGTTTATAATTTATTGATATAGTTTCTTTTTGATGTTTCAAACAATATTTTAGTAGTTGATTGATGTTTTGTGATGCTTGTTTGTAATATTTGTTAGATTGTACAAAATTGGTCAAATAGAACTTGTTGAATTTAAAAATTAAAAAAAAAACTGCATATTTTACGGTAGGCATAATAAGTCGTTGTATTACATATTTTACAGCGCGTAGTCAGCGTCGTTATTTGTCTTACCAATTAACGGTGTGCAAAAGTAGTCATAGAAAAAGTAATAACGACAAAAAATTTATCGTTAAATAGTTTTTAACGACGTACTTTAGCATGTCGTAGAAAAAGTAACGACGCACAAAATCTGTCGTTAAATAGTTTTTAACGGCGTACGAAGCATGTCATTGAAAGTGAATGACTTTCCATGACTGGTCATAATATGACATGCACCTGCACGTCGTAGAAGGGTTTTTACGACATGCATTGCGCGCCGTAAAAACCCCTTTTTGTTGTAGTGAGAATTCCCACAAAACCAAGAAACTCTAAACATTGACCCATTGCACTATCAAGAACAAGTTATAGTTTTGCTCCAAGTTGCTTTTGTTTGTCCTAAGATAAGGGCCAGCATTACTCATACTAGAAGGTGTGCACTTTTTTTTTTCTTTTTTTTTTTATATATATATTTATGAGCAAAAAATTTTATTGGTGAAATGGAGCATACAAAGTACGTGGATACATCAATAAAGGGGAGAGGAAAGAAGGTGTGCACTTGCCAGGTATCTTCCACCTGCCCCAGTCTAATTTAACCCATGTAATTCTTGGAAGTCTTGAAATTAACAAGGTAAATCGCAAGAGTCTTTGGGAGAATCAAACTTGATATTTTTTATTTTATTTTCATGTATTTACCGCTTGGCCAATCTCTTGAATTGTATCTATGGATCTGTTTGAATTGAGTAATTACAAAATTGAACATTAAGACTCTGTTTATTTTGACGTAAAATGTTTTTTTCAAAAATATTTTACTCATTTTTCGTTGTTTGGTTGAACAAAAAGAAAGTAAAATATTTTTTAAGGAAAATAATTTTTGCTTTATTTTCCCAAAAATGACTTATCTTTAAAAATTTTGTAAGTCAATTTTTATAAAGTTGACTCTCACTATCTTTTCAATATATTTAGCATTTTCAAATAAGTATCTTAACTCATTAAAAAGTCATAAATAACACTTTATTAAATCCAAATTTCTTTGTTAAGTAATAAAAAAAATAAAAGAAACAACCTAATAAATAAATAAAAATTAGATATGCTTAAAAAAAAAAAACAAAACAAAACAAAGCAAAACAATGTGAGACAAACCCATTTCGAACTCCCACATAAGTC